TAATGGGACTGGCCAGAGGACCCCCCCTCGCTACCCCAGCCTCGGGACCAAGGCCTATGCTATGGGGGGTGGGGGGGAGGTTAGAGCCAGGACTCCTGGGTTCTGTTCATGGCTCAGGGAGGTAGTGGAGTCCAATGGTTAGAGCAAGGAGCTGGGAGCTTGGACTCTGGGAGGGGAGCGTATCCTAGTGGTTAGAGCCTGCGGTGGTTTCCCACTGGGCCGGCTGGGCAGTGCCGGGGACCAGGGGGGCGCTGACGGGGGCAGAGCCCTCCTCAGCCTCTCACCCTGGAGTTGGTGACCCCGGTGGCCTCTTTGATCTTCTCGAAGGTCTCCTCCGTCGCCGTGCCCAGCAGCTGCTTGGCGCGGAGGCCGGTGCCCTTGCTGCGTTGGGCGTCGCTCAGCAGCTCCTCCGTCTGCAGGGGCAGGCGCTCCCGCAGGGCCTGGGGAGAGACGCGGCGCTCAGAGCCCCCCCCGCCCAGCGCGCTCGCCACCCGCAGGCAGGCCTGGGCCAGGTCGCTTCCCTCACTAGGGCCTGGGTTCAAATCCCACCACGGGCTGCAGCGGCTTGGCCAGTCTGCGTGAAATAAGCCAGGGTGCAGGGGGGCTGACACCCTGCCCTCCACCGGCTGTGTGTGCGGGGATGCTGACCACCTCCCCCTGCCCCCTACCAGCTGTGTGGGGGTGGGGCATGCCGGCCATGCGGGGGGGATGCTGACCACGCTCCCCATGCCCCCTGCCGGCCGTGTGGGGATGGGGCATGCCGGCCATGCGGGGGGGATGCTGACCACGCTCCCCATGCCCCCTGCCGGCCGTGTGGGAGTGGGGCATGCCGGCCATGCGGGGGGATGCTGACCACACTCCCCATGCCCCCTGCCGGCCGTGTGGGGGTGGGGCATGCCGGCCATGCGGGGGGATGCTGACCACGCTCCCCATACCCCCTGCCGGCCGTGTGGGAGTGGGGCATGCCGGCCATGCGGGGGGGATGCTGACCACGCTCCCCATACCCCCTGCCGGCCGTGTGGGAGTGGGGCATGCTGGCCATGCGGGGGGATGCTGACCACGCTCCCCATGCCCCCTGCCGGCCGTGTGGGGGTGGGGCATGCCGGCGGTGGGGGCGGGGGGATGCTGACTGCAGGGAGTGGAAGCCCAGATTGCTGTCTGCGGTGCCATTAGTGGGACAGGCCTGGATGGGTCTCACGTGAACCCCTATGGGTGGCCCTGGATCCAAGGCAGAAGGCGTCTCCCTCCATCCCCCACTACCTGCAGCTGAGCAGACACACTGGGGGGACGGGGGGGGGGGCGGCGGAGATATGCCCCAAGGGTGGGGGGCTGGCATAAGGCACCGCTTCAGCCCTATGGTGGGAAGGGAGTGAGGGCTAGTGGCTAGAGCAGGGGGCTGGGAGCCAGGACTCCTGGGTTCTCTCCCAGCTCTGGGAGGCGAGTGGGGCTAACAGTTATGAGCTGGGGTTGCCCTGCTGGGGAGCTGCTGCTGTCCAGGGTGGGTGCCACGTACCCCCCCCCCGGCCTTACCCGTCTCTCCGCCCGCTCATTCTGTGCCCTCCTCTCCTCCGCCTGCTTCTTCAGCTCCGTCAGTTTCAGCTCTCGCATGTACCTGTCCCGGTAGACACTGTCTTCTTGGAGCTGGAGCTGTTCCTGCACGGGGGGCAGTTAACGCTGGGTCAGCCCCCAGAGGAAAAGCTGGGGTGTGGGGCAAAGATCAATCCAGCAGACGCTGCTGGTCACAAGGCCCCAGGTCTGAGCTGGGACGGAGCGGGTGGGTGCCAGCCGGGACTGAGCTGGGACGGAGCGGATGGGTGGGTACCGGCTGGGATAGGCCCCTGGGTCTGACCTGGGTACTGGGCTAGAATGACCCACTGGCCTGAACTGCTGCAGGATGGAGGAATACCCACCTCGATGCCCCAGGGGTCTGATCTGCTCTGGTGGCCCCCGTCCCTGCCTTTCCCCCAACCCCTGACAGCCCCCCAATGCTCCATCTCCTGGCAGCTCCCCACCCGCACCCTGGTGCCCCCCGTCCCCTGCCTGCACCCTGGTGCCCCCCGTCCCACGCCCACACCCTGGTGCCCCCCTGCCCGCACCCTGATGCCCCCTGCCTGCACCCTGATGCCCCCCTGCCCACACCTTGGCAGCATCCCGCGTGGCCTGTGCCTCTGTGTTCATCGCTTGCAGGCCATGGAGCTCTTGGTGCAGCCGCAGGATCTCAGCTTCCAGCCCGTCCAGCTGGGTCTGGGCCGTCAAGCTCTGCTCCTGGGGGGAGACAGTGTCAGCTCCCCCCCGCTGTGCTCCCGAGGGCAGGGACGTGCCCGGATTGGAGCCGACCCCAGGGCACCTGGACCCAGCCCTGCGGGTCCCCAGGGGGACCTCGGCCGGGATCCCACCGCTCCGGATCCACGAGCTGGAGGTGGCGGGGCGGGGGGGGGGGGGCAGGCCCTGACCCCAGAAGCTCAGGGGGTGGGTGGGATGAAGGGGGGGGGATTTCTCTGTCCAGCCCACGCCCGGCAGCCCCACCTGCATGTGAGCTTTCAGCTGGCGGTACAGGCTGGTGACATGCTCTGCCTCCTCCACCTTCAGCCGGGCTTTCTCCAGCTGGTTCTCCAGCCGGCGCAGGGTCTGGGCGGGGAGACGAAAGGCATTGAATGAGCCGCCCCCCACACAGCGAGTCACCGATCCCCGCGGGAGCCAGGCCCGGGCTCCCCGGCTTTGTATCAGGCTGTGGGGAGCCCCCCCTTGCCCTCCCCAGGTGGCTGAGGGACCCCCCGTCCCCAGAGCGGGCTGAACCGAACCCTCGGATCGGGGCAGGCCGGGAGCGGCGGTGCTGCAAACGACACCGTCTGTTACGGCCCCGGCAGGCAGCAGGGCCAGGGAGCCGGTGCCCATCCCGGAGCCCAGGGCACCCTCCTGTCACGCCCTCTGGGCCTGCTGCAGGGCAACCCCGGGCACCAGGGCCGGTTTGATCCCCAAATACTCCCCCACACCCCGTGTTTTGGAAACGGCCGCATCTGCCGTTTATTTAGCAAACAGAGAAGCCGTGATCTTGCCAGACACCAGGGAACCTGGGGCGGGGCGGGCGGCTCTCAGCACTGCAGGAGGGACAGGAACAGCGCCTTCTTACGCCCCGTCCCTGCTGCCCGTGCCGACTCACAGCAGCAAATGACTCGTGCTTGCATGGGGGGGGCGCTTAGCTTCCCTTGTCCCTCCCAGAGGCTCATGGGAAGGAGGCTCTGGTCTGGAATTCCGGAGACCAGGGTTCTAGTCCCAGCTCAGCCACGTCCCCTCTCCATGCCTCAGTTTCCTCACCCATGAAACAGGGCCAGAGATTCTGACCCTGAGAACTGGGGCGGGCCCATGACTGCAGCAAGGGGCGCTGTCTCCCTCCAGTGGCTGGTCTGTGTCACAGGGTTAGGAGTTTGCTGCGGCCGCCAGGCTCAGAGCTCAGACAGGAGAGCTGCCTACCCAACTAGGCCATGCTGCCTCCCTGGTATCACAGGAGAGACATCGGGCGGGAGGGAGACAAGGGGAGCCCAAGGACACAGTGAGAGGTTAGTGGTCAGTAGGATGGGCGGTGCACAGCCAACGAAGTGGCCAATGGTTTGCGACTTCCCCGGGCTGATCCGCCTCCCTCACCCAATGGGGCAGCAGCTGGTTCCAGAGCCTCCCCGCCCTCCCTGCCCTCACACTCTGAGCATTAGACAGGCCAGAGATCCCGTAATACACCTACTATTAGTGTACAGCGCCTGGCACAATGGGGTCCCGGGTACCTAATAAATCACATTCAGCCCAGAAATGAACCTCCCCCTCCAGCTAAAGCGCTGGGTGCTAAGAGGGTGAGTGCTGTGCTGGGGTCGGTGGGAGCTCCCCACCCCCCACCCGCCCCCCGAAACCTCCTCTCACCTTGGCTGCCTCCACATCCCCTTCCTCCACCTCCTGGCAGCCCCGGGCCTCCTGCACCTTGGAGTCGTACTGCAGCTGCAGCTCCTCCAGCCGCCGCTTCCTCACCTCCACCTGGTGCTTCAGGTCGTTCAGCCGGTTGATCTTCTCACAGAGCCGGTGGTTGATGAACTCGATGGCGCCCTCGGGAGGAGGGAAAAGGGCAAATCGTACAGGGCGAGGTGTTTTCCGGGCAGCGTCTCAGCGCCCACTGAAATCACCCCACCAATGTCGCCCTCAACTTGAATCAGACCTTCCCTGGGCATCGGAAGAGCTGGCTTAATCCCCCCCCCAACCCCATGGTTGGTTTCATACCACCCCTGCTGGGCCCCCCAGCAGAACAGGAAACAGAACTGACCCTTTGGGCCCTGATCCTGCACAATATTCAGTGTGGGATCAGAGTTACCCACCCTCAATCCCACCCGCAGCCCCCTGCTATCCCAGCTCTACCCCCACAGCTCTGCCAGTGCCCCTCAACCCCGACCCACAGCCCCCTGCCATCCCAGCCCTGCCCCACCAGATCTTCTAGTGCCCCTCAATCCCACCCGCAGCCCCCTGCTATCCCAGCCCTACCCCCACAGCTCTGCCAGTGCCCCTCAATCCCGACCCACAGCCCCCTGCCATCCCAGCCCTGCCCCACCAGATCTTCTAGTACCCCTCAATCCCACCCGCAGCCCCCTGCCATCCCAGCCCTGGGCTCCCCACACCTCTGCTGATGCCCCTGATTTCTCTCTTTTTCCCTCCCAGAAATGTGGGCCTGGCAACTTCTCACCCATAGCCTGGACCGGCTGGGCTGGCAGCCTGGCACGCAGGACGGCACAAAGCACCACCTACCTCTCCACTTTTATTTTTCAGCGAGGCCTTTTCGGCAGCCCGGTCCCGGAACACCTCTTTTATGATTTGTGCATCTCCCTGCGGACAAAGAGACGGCGGCCGTCACCCTCAGAGCCCCTCGGGCAACGTCACCCCTACCAGGTGACGCTTCCAGTCCCGGCACATGGGTCTGCGGAACAGAGCTCCCGATTCCCGGGCACGCCTGCCCCCCTCGGTCCCGTGACAAACAGACAAGCTGGGTGGCAATGAACTTGCCCGGTTTGTGTTGTGGTAGCAGCCTGGAAACAGTCATGGGCCAGGACCACATTGTGCTGAGCACTGTACTTTATATTAGGTGTATTACGGTAGCACCTAGGCACCCAAGGCCTGGGTCAGGACCCCATTGTGCTAGGCGCTGTATGTTATTTATTAGGTGCATTACGGTAGTGATTAGGCGCCCCGGTCCTGGCGCAGGACCCCATTGTTGGCATAATGGGGACCTGGGCCATGGCTGGGGCGCCTCGGCGCTACCGTAATACACCTAAAATAACGTACTGCGCCTGGCACAACGGGGTCCTGGGCCATGTCTGGGGTGCCTCGGCGCTACCGTAATACACCTAAAATAACGTACTGCGCCTGGCACAACGGGGTCCTGGGCCATGGCTGGGGCGCCTCGGCGCTACCGTAATACACCTAATAAATAACGTACAGTGCCTGGCACAACGGGGTCCTGGGCCATGGCTGAGGCACCTCGGCGCTACCGTAATACACCTAATAAATAACGTACAGTGCCTGGCACAACGGGGTCCTGGGCCATGGCTGAGGTGCCTCGGCGCTACCGTAATACACCTAATAAATAATGTACAGCGCCTGGCACAACGGGGTCCTGGGCCATGGCTGAGGTGCCTCGGCACTACCATAATACACCTAATAAATAACGTACAGTGCCTGGCACAACAGGGTCCTGGGCCATGGCTGGGGCGCCTCAGCGCTACCGTAATACACCTAATAAATAACGTACAGCGCCTGGCACAACGGGGTCCTGGGCCATGGCTGGGGCACCTCGGCGCTACCGTAATACACCTAATAATGGGTCCTGGGCCATGGCTGGGGTCCCTAGACACAGCTGCAATACATCTAATAACGTACAGTACCTGAAACACCCTCCCCCTTCACACATATTCCCCAGCTGTCCTCCCCTGCACCCCCATAGACCCTCACATCCCCCACACCCTCAAAATAACCCCCACCCACCCCCACAGACCTTCATGCTCACCCCCACCCACTCCCCCACATACACCCCCATAGACCCTCACGCTCACCTCCCCTACCCACACCCCCAAAATAACCCCCCCCTACCCCCATAGACCCTCACCCCCACTTATACTCCCCACACACCCTCAGGCTCACTCCCCCACATATACTCCTCGCCTGCACACACACACCCGCACGACCCCATGTCTTCCGCACCTGCACACCCCAATACGCTGTGCCACACCCGCCCAGCCCCATACACCTCCCACCCAACCCCACACAAATCCCTCAACCCTGGACCACACCAAGAGCTGAAAGAAGTCTCTGAGTGGGGGGCTGCTGCTCTCCAGCTCCGGGGCAATCAAAGCACACCCTGAAGGGAGCAGGGCCCCGCACGGTTGTGCCGCAGGCTCTGCGCGCCCTGCCACCCCCGGGGGGGCTGCTCACCGCCAGGATGGCCGCCAGCTTCTTGTGCAGGGTTTTGTTCTCCTGCCGCAGCCACTGGATGGACTCCCTGTTCTTCTTGATGGTCCACTGGGAGCTCTCGTAGAAAGCTTTCCGGTCGCCCTCTACCGAGGGTGCAAAACAGAAAACAGCCCCACGCGGGGAGTTACCAACTAGTACAGGCAGGCGGGCCACTGCTAAACAAGGGCCAGGACTTGGATGGGACGCCTCTGAGGTGCTCTCCCCTCCGTGCCAGCAAAGAACCCGGCTCCCGAGGGGGCACCGGCAGCCAGATTCTCTACTCAATTGCAGAACCAGGCCCCTCTGAATGCCTCCTTGCCTTGTTTAGGTCACTTGCTCTGAGACCTGGGGTACATCCACAGGAAATACAAGGCCCATCTAGCCCCCCACCCCGGCTCTGAGAGCACGCAGCTTCAGAGGAAGGTGCAAGAAACCCTCTGCAATAGCAGATGGGGGCTAGTGTGTGTGCCCCCCAGAGGTCCCATCTGGTCTCGAATAGCTCAAGACTGGCTGAAGCACTGGGTTTTAACCCTTCCGATGTTCTCTGATAGCACAAACTGTTCAAACTCTGGGTCTTGTTATCCATAGCTAGGGCCCTACCAAATTCACAGCCATGAAAAATGCATCACGGACCGTGAAAACTGGTCCTTTGTGTGCTTTTACCCTATACTATAGGGATTTCATGGGGGAGACCAGTGTTTCTCAAACTGCCCCAAAAGGGAGTTGTGTGTGTGTGTGGGGGGGGGTGTCCCAAGGTTTGCCTTCAGAGCTGGGCGGCCGGAGAGCAGCAGCTGTTGGCTGGGAGCCCAGCTCTGAAGGCAGCACCCCACCAGCAGCAGCGCAGAAGTAAGGGTAGCAGTACTGCATCCCCCCTATAATAACCTTGCGACCCCCAGAACTCCTTTTTGGGTCAGGACCTCTACAATTACTGTACACCACTGTGAAATTTCAGATTTAAATCCCTGAAATCACGAAATTTACTATTTTTAAAATGCTACGACTGAAATTGACCAAAATGGCCCGTGAATTTGGTAGGGCCCTATCCATAGCCAGTCCTTCTTCAATCCTGCCATTCTCCACCTCTGCACCATCCAGCGGCAGGGAGTTCCAGAGTCTAAACGCTGTGTGGGTAAAGCACCTCTGCTCTCCTCACCGCCCCTACCTAGTCCTAGGGGATGGAGCATTGGACTGGGACACTCAGGATACCTGGGTTATTCCCAGCTCTGCGACTGGCCTGCTGGGCAACCTCGCACAAACCATTTCCCTGCTCTGTGTCTCAGTTTCCCCTTCTGTAAAATGGGGATAATGGTACCGGCTGCCTTGGTAAATCGCTTTGAGGTCTACGGATGAGACGCGCTATATAAGAGGTAGGGATTATTCTTCCTCAAAATCCCCTGGGGCTGGATTTTGCTGTGTAGAAAGCTGTTGCTGGAGGGAAGAATATAACCCCCTCCACCCCACTCTGTAACCTGGGTTAACAGCACGCTGGGGGCAGCTTGAGTTGAGAAGGAAGCACTGATGCAGATGGAGAGTCACACATGGGGACCTCACCCCCTTCTGAATGCTGACCCCCGCCCTGCTCTCTTGCTCACCCCCAGGACAACCCCCCACCCCACCCCCCAGTGCGTGCAAGCGGCTGCGGAACAGCTACGTACCTAGGAGCTGTATCTTATTCTGCAGCTCTGAGATCTGCTCGTGGACTGGGGGCTTCACCCCGGCAGGGTCCAGCGTTGCAGGCATGGTGATTGCAGCCCCCTGGCACTAGGGAGTTGCTGGAGGGCAGGGTGGCGAGGCACAGAGGCACACTAGGACTGTCAGAGGAGCACCCTGGGCAGGGAGGGGGCACACTACAGCAGATGGGGGCACCCTGGGGCAGATGGGGGCACCCCAGGGTAGGTGGGGGGCACCCTAAGGCAGGAAGAGGGGCACCCTAAGGCAGATGGGGGCACCCTGGGCAGGGAGAGGGGCACCCTGGGGCAGATGGGGGCACCCCAGGGTAGGTGGGGGCACCCTGGAGCAGATGGGGGCACCCTAGGACAGATGGGGGCACCCCAGGGTAGGTGGGGGCACCCTAGGACAGGAAGAAGGGCACCCTAGGGCAGATGGGGGCACTGGGCAGGGAGAGGGGCACCCGTGGGG